GCCTCCGGCTCGGCTCCTCTTCCCTTCCTCACCTCCTCCGCTCCCACTCGATGACGCAATGGTTGTGCTCCATGCCATCTGCGCAGCGCCCTCACCATCCTACGGGCTCTCCCTCTTCCCCGCGCTCCCCTCAGAACCATTGCCGTCGCTCCTTCTGTACCACGCTGTCGTAGCCTACCTCGCCTCCCTCGCTGCGCTCCCCAACCTCCGTGCCCACCTCGCCTCTTTCTCGTTGCTTGTTCTGCCGCTCGCGCACCTCTGCCTCCCTGTTATCGAGGGGGCTACGCCTCCGCGATTGAAGCCTTTGATCCCAACACGTAGGGCCATGGCGGTGGCCAACAACATCGAGGCATGGGCGCCAGGGCGATAGCGGGCACGATGTGTGTGCACCTGTGCAAGGCGGCGTAGATGGCGGCATGACAGCGCAAGACGCGAGGTCAAAGCGACGGTGGTGATCTTCGCTGAGCTCAAGAACACGATGGCGTGAGCGCTTGGGCAATGGGCAGCCAGGGTGACGGCGGGCACGATGTGCGTGCGGCTGTGCAGGATTGCGCAGGTGGTGGAGCAGCGGCGCGAGATGCAATGTCGGAGTGATGGTGGCGGTCTTCACCGAGGGTAAGAACACGACGGTGTGTGGTCAGTGGGACGTTGATCTCTAGCTATAGTCCATGGAGACACATTCCATATGGCCCTACGACACCGGGCCGGACGACATCACGAACTCAATGGGATAGCTCTTGGCGGCGAAGACGAGGCATTAGCGGTGTTCCTCTGAGAACTCTTGTCCCTGCGTGACGGGCTGGAAAGTGAAAATAGTAGAAGCTACAGTAAAAGGAGCGAGGAGAAAGAAGATAGTGGAGGGTAAAAGAGACGTTTCATGCCCCTTCTCTCTCCTGATGTTGAGTAAATAATTATTTTAATGGCTGCGTGGTGTCCAACACCAACAGAGATACATATTTTTATAATGGTACTCAATAAATTTAAGAGTTAGCTATGTATCAGCATATTACAAGTATGAACTGTGTCCTTGAGCAACATTTCCTAAACCATTTTATACATCAAAGAAAACGGGACAGATATATTGCTGCATGATACATTGAGGGCGATGCGAAATAATTGTCCATCGGTGGATCAAACGAACGATGTGGACGGCCGGATATGCAAAAGCAAGCCACCGCGAGAGCCCGAGTCCGACGGACATGAAACGGTGGATGGTTGAATGAAGAGGAGAAAAGATGGACCAAAAGACAGGAGCTAGCTATATATAGGCAGCTGCTGCATATTCATCACATATTGTATGTACCACGTATGTCTCACTACTGGATTGGCAAAGCCTTTGCCGAGGTAGCGTTCGGCAAAACGTTTCCGGTAAAAAATCCGTCGGCAAAGAATTTTTTGCCGAGCGTTTTTTATCGGGCACTCGGCAAAGTCTTTGCCGAGTGCAATCTCGGCACTCGTCAAAGAAAAGTCCCCGTCACGGCACCGGTTCCGTTAGCACATGCTTTGCCGAGTGTCATGTTAGAGGCGCTCAGCAAAGATTTTTTAATTTTTTTTTCAAATTTTCTTTGCCGAGTGCCCCCCTGCCGAGAGCCCTGCCAGGTCGGCGCTAGGCAAATATTTATTATTATTTTTTCGTAATTTCTTTACCGAGTGCCCTGGCCCTGGCACTCAGCAAAGCTGGGAATTCTGCACCAGCTTTGCCGAGTGCCAGGGTCAGGGCACTTGGCAGAGAGGCTAAATTTTTTTTATTCTATATTCATAAACACATCATATAAGAGATATATATAACATCGTGACATCACAAACACAATATAGCACATATATATCACATCCATCTCATCACAAAGGCATTACCACATATATATCACATGTCGATCACACAATATCTCACATACACGACATCACAAGCATAATAGGTCCAATATCCATCGAAACAAGTCGATAGTTGATCACAGTGCATCACATGTCCATCAAGCGGTGAAAAAGAGATACAAACTACTGGTGGGGAGGAAACTGAGTGCTTGGTGAAGGAAAAGTGCCGTCGCCTGCTTGCGCCTGAGATGGGTTATTCGAACCCGCCGACGGAGGCTGCATAAAGGATAAGAGATTGCATCTGTTAGAGTGGTCATCTAATGAAAGCACTAGTTAAAGCAATTTGGTTTCATACTCACAGGACTAGCTATAACTGGCGGCGACGGTGGAGCGAACTGCGGCATAGCTACACTGTGCATTTGCCCAAAGTTCTTCAGGAACGTCGTAATCTCCGCTAGCTACTTGGCCTGCCTTTCCCGCTCGGCCCGCTCGGCCTATCTTTCTCGCTCGGCCTGCTCGGTCCTCGCCGCTAGGTCCCGCAGCTCCTGAGCCATCCTCTCGTTATCGGCCTGCAACATTTGAATCGAATGTTTCAGTAATGCAAAGGCAACTAAGTTATTTAAAGATCAATGTACGAAGAGTTAAACGGGACTAACCTGGAGTGCGTCGACCCGCTGCTGTGAAGGGGACGGCCATTGGCGTATGGCCGGGCCTCCGCTCGGGGTCTGTGCTCGGATCTAGGAGAGGGAGGGAATCTCGCTGGGCTAGAGGGTGCCATCGCCTATCCAGTACCGCCCATGCTTCTTGCCTTGTTCGAGCCTCATGACCATCGTCCCATCGATGTCGTCGGTGCTCGGATCCTAGTCTGGCCCATGGACCGACCTTGCCTCCGACGCGTACGAACTGATGTGGGTGTGGACGCTCGGGTTGCTGTAGGACTTGGGCGGGTCATCCGGGGTGAAGGTGACAGCGGACGTCGCCTTACCCTTGCAGGCCAGACCATATGCCATGAAATTGGAGATGGACAGCCCACCATGTGATGTCGACGTGGTGTAGGAAGACCCGCAGTGCCGACGAAGACGATCGGGGTCGCCGAGTCCCTCCCACAGGTCCTCCTGCAAAAAAGGGCAAAAATGGTTAGTGTCGACTCAAAATTTCGGCAGCACCTCCCCTGCACGAGGAGGTTCCCAAAACCTGCAAAAAACATGGCACAAAGGCCAACAACCACATATATACCAAACATGGGCACGAAGGCCAACAACCACCAATATATCAAGAGGAGCCATGTACTTTAGTTCTCTTTCCATGCAGATGAAAGTATTAAAGTAGTACAAAAACAATTACTACTAACCCTACAACTACTACTAACAACTGCTTAACTACTAACAGTACTAATACTAAGAACTACTTAACTATTAACAACAACTACTACTAACCACTACTACTTACTAACTACTACTATTTACTAACTACTACTACTACTAACCCTACAACTAACACTACTAACTAATACTACTAACCACTACTACTTACTAACTACTACTATTTACTAACTACTACTACTACTAACCCTACAACTAACACTACTAACTACTACAACTAACACTACTAACTACTACTACTAACACTACAACTAACTACTACTACTACTAACCCTACAAGGGTAGGGCTTACCTTGGCGGCAAGAACGGCAAGAGCGAGGGCCGACGACGACGGAGGGGATGACCACAGCAGCACGAGGATCAACGGGCGGTCGGAACGGCGCGAGGATCGACGGGCGGTCGGGTCAGCACCTTCCTCTTCTTCCTCCTCCCCTTTCTCTTTCTTCCTCTTCTTCCTCCTCCCCCTTCTCTTTCTTCCTCTTCCTCCTCCCTCTTCTATTTCTTCCTCTTGCTCCTCTCCTTCTCCCTCTCTTGGCTGGCCGGGTGCAGGCACGGCAGGGCTTGGTGGAGCTCGGGGTTCAAGGGAGGCGCCACCAGGCCGGGCAGAGCGCCACCAAGGGGCGGGACGGGGCGCCAAGCGGGCCGCAGAGAGCTCACTTACCGAGGGGGGGACGACGGCGCTGGGCAGAGCTGGCGCCGGGCGGGCGGCGGCGGCGACGCGGGGGCGCGGGTGGGAGAGGAGTGAGGAGGGGGTGCGGTTGGGCCGGCCCGTTCTGGGCCTTTAGGTTAAAAGATTTGCCGAGTGCCGGGCCCAACGACACTCGGCAAAGGTTTTTTGAATTTTTTTAGAATTCTTTGCCGAGCGCCCTGTGACCTAGAGCTCGGCAAAGGCTTCTTTGTCGACTGCCAATGTTGGCACTCGGCAAATTAATTTTTTTTTTATTTTTTTCTCCCCATTTTTTTCTGGGGTCTTGCTACAGGAAAAAATGGGGAGAAAAAAACAAATTTTTTTTTAATTTGCCGAGTGCCAACCTTGGTACTCGGCAAAGAAGCCTTTGCCGAGCGCCAGGTCATAGGGCGCTCGGCAAAGAATTTTAAAAAAAAAAAAAACATTTGCCGAGAGCCTAACGTCGGGGCACTCGGCAAAGGCTGACGGCAGGTGGCCACCGTCAAGCCGGCCACCTTTGCCGACGGCCAAGTTTTGCCGAGTGCCCGACACTCGGCAAAGATCTTTTTGCCGACGGCCGCTCTCGGCAAAGGCATATTTGTCGACCGCCTATCTTTGCCGATTGCCGCTGGGTCCGGCTCTCGGCAAAAATTGCCTTTGCCGAGTGCCTGATAGAAAGCACTCGGCAAATCTATTTGCACTCAGCAAATCGGCCGTGTCCGGTAGTGTCTGTCTGTCATTGGCATGCATGCCATAACTTGGATCGATGATGGTACGTGCTGAACCTGTCTGTGGCACTACAGTGTCGTTGATTTGGACCGTGCAGTCGAGTGCACACGCTAGGCTGCAGATCATCACTGGCTACCTCAATCGTACTATAGTGCTCGATCGATAACGCTGGCTCCATTATATATCTGTGCTGTGCTGCCTCAGCCTGACACGGACAGTAGTCACTTAATCCTCTCCATTTCCATGCAAGTTGTAGATTGCTTGTCGATCGATCAATTTGGTTTATCTCTGCTGCTACCACTTCTTCTGGGTAACTCTTTCGCCTCCTTGAATTTCTGTCGGCAACTCAGATCCTGAATTAGGCTTTTGATCGACCCACAATATATATTGTATATCATATCAGTAGTATCATGTGCGACTTCTTTTGGCTGTCGCCGGCCGATCAAGGCGACCTCTCGGACGTCGTCCGGGCGAGCCTGCAGCCGCCTCCGCCGCCGCCACACCACCACCGACTGCCGGCGGCCACTCCTGCTGCCCCAACCGTCTGCTCTTTGGGCTCCCATCATCTGCCGGAGGAAGAGGGGCTGCTGCTGCTGCAAGCAGGCCGAGTGAACTTCGATGGCGACGATCACGATGAAGCGCGCTCGCAGAGACAGCAGCAGCTGGTGCATGGCAATGGCGGCATGGGGCTCATGCAGCTGGGCAGCAAGGGCAGTGGCGGCTGCGCTTGTGATCATGCTGCTGCCCTGTGTCCCCAGCACCATCCAGAGGCAGAGGGACTGATTCCTCAGCCCATGTCCAGGTCGCAACCACAGCTGTGCGCTTCCAGTTCCAGCTTCGTCGAGAGGGACGATGATGGTCCCGTGCTGGAGGAGCACGTCCTGGACATGGCGATGGCCCCTCACCCTCATACCTCGGCAATCAAGCGAAGGTTCGTTCGTAGTGTCATACAGTATATATATATTTTGTTTACTTCGCATCGATCAATACATTACGTACTGATGCATGCGTGGCGTGCGTGCACGAACGGTGTCGTTAGGAAGAGCCAGACGAAGAAGGTGGTGTGCATCCCGGCGCCGGTGGCGGCGCCACCGGGGGTGGGCGGGCGGCCGAGCACGAGCGGCGAGGTGGTGCCGTCGGACCTGTGGGCGTGGAGGAAGTACGGGCAGAAGCCGATCAAGGGGTCGCCGTACCCGAGGGGGTACTACCGCTGCAGCAGCTCCAAGGGCTGCTCCGCCCGCAAGCAGGTGGAGCGCAGCCGCACCGACCCTTCCATGCTCGTCATCACCTACACCTCCGAGCACAACCACCCATGGCCTACGCAGCGCAACGCGCTCGCCGGCTCCACCAGGCCGGCCTTGTCCTCCTCGTCGTCGGCCAGGAGCCATCACCATCATCACCATCACCATCACCATCACTCCGCGGCTGCCGTTCCTGATACGACACCGGCCCAGCGTCACGCCAGCAACGTCGCCGTCGCCGACAATGCAACGCCAGGATCCATCATTAGCGCCAGTGGTGTCCATCACCTGCTGCTCAAGCAGGAGGTGGTCGACATGGATAACCCCAGCAAGCAGCCCGCGCAGGACGCTGCAGCTGACCATGACTGCTTGGGCATGTTTGCGGATATGGACGGCGCCCTCGACGTCCTGTGCGCCTCCGACTTCCACCCAAAAAAGCAGCAACAGCAGGCCACTGCTCAGCACTTGCAGAAGCTGCCGGAGGAAGAAGACAAGCAGTTGTTGCTGCTGGGTCCGGATCCCTTCAGCTTCAACTTCTTGGACTGGGTTGGCGCTTCATTTGGAGTTGGAGAGACAGCAGCAGATAACGGTGATCACAGTTAGCCTGCCTAATAATCCATCGTCACTACTACTATATATTAATCTAGCTAAAATTGATCTACATCCAGCTAGCCTCTATTTAATTTCGTAATCAAATTAAGCGCGCCAACAGATCCTACACTGATATTATATTCTTACAGTTTTCTACTAGTCTCTTTTGAGTATTCAAGTAGATAGCAGTACTGCGTATTTCACTCTAAGAATGACAACGGGGCGGGTTCGGATCGGGTGGAGTGTCTGGGCACCCAAAACCGAAACCTGAACCTAAAACCCGAAACCGCCCCGAACACCAATTCGGGTGAAAATCCATCCCCAAAACTGAAACCCACGGATCCCCGAAACCCGTCGGATAGTCCGAAACCCGCCGAGCGCTGATGGGGGCACTCCGTGTCCGTGACCGAGAGAGAGAGAGAGAGAGAGTGAGAGAGGGCGAGCCGCCGTCGCCGAGTCGAGCGCCCGCTGCCGCGCCACCGCCAGGAGAGAGGGCACACCCGCCGCCGTAGCCACCATGTGTCGGTCCACCGCTGCCGGTAGAGCCCGCTCATGCGCTTGCCGCCGTTGCAGCTCCTAGCCGCCGGTAGAGTCGCGGAGACGAGGGAGAGAGAGGAAGCCGGTGAGGTCACGGACTGGCGAGGCACCGAGGTCGGCGAGGTCGCCCGTCGGGGGCTCGGGGCGTCGGGGGTGCGGGCGGATGAGGCCACATCTCTGCCCTCTGCTTCGCCGTGTCCTCGCCTCCCGCCTCCCCCATAGGCCTTGTGCGCCGGCGGGCCGCCCCTGCAGGGTGCGCGCGCTCTGGGCCTGGCGGCGCTGGCTGCCGATGCCGGCAGTTGCTCCGGTTTGGACGGGGGCGGGGCCGAGGACTCGAGGAGGCCGCCCGCCGTCGAGCGCCGTGAGCCTGTCGGGGTGAGGGCGTGAGGCGCTGGCCGCTAAGGCCGCTGTCGCCTGCCAGCCTGCCGGGGTCTCGGGGACTCGAGGTCGGGGTGAGGCGTTGAGCCGCTGCCGCCGTCGGGTGGGAGGGGAACAGGTGAGGGCTGAGGAAGTGAGGATTCCAGCATTATATACTAGGGTTTTAGTTGGGCCTCTGGTGGGCTGTTTGTTTCGGGCCCCAGATGGAGCTCCACGGGTAAAAATAAACATCCGCCCCAAACCCGCTGGATTTCGGATATCCGAACCCGAAAATCTGTGGGCGAAAACCTGGAACCAAAACCGAAACCCGCGGACCCGAAATCCATGGATATCCGCCCCGAACCCGACCCACTGCCATCTTTATTTCACTCTACGACCAGTCTTTATTTTCTGTTGATTGTGCCTTTTCATTTTATTTTAACTGAAAGGATCAATGATATGTTACTACTAGTTACCAAGAGGAAACAAGGCTCTGTTGTCAGGTGTTCTACTACTTTGTGGGCTAATATGCACGCAAATCGCAAATCGCAAAACCAAATTAAAAAAGGCCCCTGTTAGATTGAATAATGTTCGCTTCTGAATCTGACTTGTTCGTTTGAACTTATCAGCCGATTTATCAGGTAGAATGTACGGTATTTTTTCTTCACAGTAAATCAGCTCAGCCGAACAGGCCTGTCACTTGCAGCTTCCCCAGTCTGCCGTGCTAATGATTGATGCCAAAGATAAGTCCAAAGGTACTGTTTAACCCCAAAAAGATTAAAAAGGAAAAAAGAAAAAGAAAAGTGGAGCAGGATGAAAGGAGAACCAGAGGACAGAATGCTGGGATAAAAAGCTCAAACGACAGCAAGAATCTTCTTACCACAGTGCAAATATGCAATCGCTGTTGCTCGTAGTTGTTGATGAGACTGGACGATGAAAAAAAAGACGAATAGTCCATCTCTCACCGTGAGTTTGGTTGAACTATTGAAGGGACAACGGAGGCGGGTGATTGATCTCGTTTCTACGGGTGTTTGGTTTGGAAACAAATTAAAATAGAATTTTCTTGCTAAAACATATTCTTTTAATATACATGATGACTATATTTTTTAAAATCGAGCGGGAGGCTTTCATTTCACCTGGGACAATCATCGAGTACGTGCACAACCAAATGGTGGACGCGGCGTAGACGAGCAACAAACCGGGGAGACGCGGAGAGGAAGAAGAGGAGCAAGCGTGTTTGTAAGGATGGAATGGTTCCGAGAAGAGATATGAATTGGAACTCTAAAATTTTAACTCGCGACAAATAAATCATGGCCTCTGCAAAGCTATCACCCGCAGTTCTTGTCTAAGTGCTAAAAAGATTCACACTAATATCAAATCTTTAGGACCACCACACATTCACACTAAATATGTACTTAGCAAAAAGCTCACAAAGATATTGTCTTTGGTTGTAGAATTATGTCTTTGGTTGTAGAATTAATCCATATAGCTAAGCACACTCTATCATACAATTCTAGTTGTCACACACAAAAGTTCTTACACACAAACTAGTATTAACTCCTAAACTAGAAAAGGTAAGTAACGCAAGACATTAAGAAGGCAAAAATACGACAGATTTATCCCGTGGTATCAGTTGCTAACACAAAACTCCTAGTTCACGTTAGAGCTCTACTGAGGTACGCTCATAAACACCAAGTCTTTTTCAATAACGACGACCAAAGGAAAATTGAGTCACATCGTCTACTATGCCACCCCACCTATCCGATCTTGGTGTTGGACTACACCTAACCAAAGATAGTGTTGTGAGCCAATATAGTCTTACTATCATTACTAGAATCAATGAGTTTTCCCTGTGATTTTTCTATTTTGCTGTCACAGAACTGTCCAATTTATACGAGATCAAGTATGATTGCCCCCGCTTAGAATGTTGACACGTGCATATCATCACTTATATAAACCAAGTAGTCAGTTGAGTGTCACGAAAGACCTCAATAAAGCCATATTACAACTAAGATCGTACTCGATTAAGCAAATACATATCACATACCAGGAGTTTACAGCGGAAATAATATTACAATTAAGTTCACAAATAATAACACACTATCAAGTTGTGATCTGATAAATTTAAAACAACATAGCTTTGAAATGATTACAATAGCATAAATTAAAAATATATTGCTAGCTTAGATGACATCCTCCAAATAAAAGCACATATGAGAAATGTATAGAGATCGAGCTGCCGAGGCCACCGGCACTTAACTCATTATCCTTAGTAGGGCCGAGGCAACAAGTACAACACCAGGATACCTCGCTTTACCTGCAACAAGGTGGGATAAAACTCTGAGTACTCAATTGTACTCAGCTAGACTTAGGAGAAAAATAAAATGACTCCAAGAATATGCAAGGCTTATTTGGTGGAGCAAACTGGATAGCATAATGTAAGTGCATCTAACCCTTTAGTGGAATTTGGTGAATTGAATGACAGCACCATTAAAGGTCTAACAAGTTTGCTAAGTGTTGAACAAAAAATTGAGTTTATTGGATACACTTGTGGATTGTGGTATGAGAAGTGTATATAGGTTCAACAAGAAGGCAACTTTAATGATATTTCACATAATGTTCAAATCAAGACCAAAATTATGTATTGTTGTGTTGGAAGATCATGGAAACAATATAGTTCAAGCAAAAGACAATAATGCAAACAGAATAGATGAAATGGAACCTAAGTTGTGGGATATCATAGTATCATGAGAAAGCAAGCATATTTGGCAAATGGTAAATGAGACATAAGTTGATGATTTTGGACCGATCTCTATAATGGCTTGCTTTTCATGAACAAGAAGAGTTTGATAGTGAATTAGCTTTGATCAAGGGTGAAGAATGAAACAAGAATGCATAAGTGAGGAAATGCCAAGCAAAGGTCAAATGACAAAGGACACAACTCATATTGGACATAAGTCGGTCTCTACATCGGTTTGCTTGTATAGATAAAGATTTGGAAAATCACTTTGCATTGATTTGATCAAGCTAGAAGTATGAAGATAGTTATTGATGTGATACTGAGAAAGAGGATAATACACGTGATGGTGGAACCCCCAGTTACAAAAGGAAACGACAACCAGCTTAAAGGCATTTAAATTCTTTTATGTTTTGAAAGTGAGTTTATGAAAAGCCGTACTATAAAGGGGATACAATGCATAAGCTTCAATGTGCAATCAAGTGCTCTAATACCCACCAAAATATCCTCAACACCTAGCCAAGACAGCAAGCCTTTCACTCCATCTTTTTGGTTGTCTATGGCTGAGCAACACTTCTGCTCAGACGAGGAGCAGTTTGGTCTAAAGGAGTTGCAATCAAATTACAAGCAGCAGCAAGTAGTTGTAATTAGTTGGAACCAGAAGAAATCAGTTGCAGGATTTCAGAAACATCAGCTAAAATTGGAAGCAACCGTAACCAACTAAAACAAATTGGACTGCAAGCTGCTTGAAGGAGTTTGAAATCAATTGGAATATAGTGTAAACTTCTCCCTTGACCTCATGTTATTGATATGCATGAGTGTACTTTGTTTACTCTTGTATGCACAAATTAAGGGGGGAGTTTAGCTAATATATATCTTGTGAGACTAATGGTTTGTTTGAAACTCATGTTGATAAGTCTCACACATTGGAGAAAGGAGAACATCAAATGAGGATGATTGGTTCCAATGGAAGATTTCTGGGTGCTTCACAATTATTCTAGGAGGTCTTGGTCTTTATAAACCAAGTGCTCCCAGTTTAGTGTCGGATGCCCCAATCCTTTAGTGGAACCAAATTTGAATGAGTTGGAGAAAATAATTGAAGAGTGAACTTTCATTGCTATTTCTCCTCTCTAGAGCTCAACAAGTGCACATGGATCCATCCCATTGATCACCCAAGACCATGTCAATAAAGAGTGAGCTCGAGTTCACCACATTTCATCAAGTGAGAACTATTGCCATTCAAATCCTTGAAGTCTCACTTTATGATGATCATGTCAAAATTTGCGTGGTGATCTATCTATCTTTGGTGGTGGTATGTTTTCTTTGGCATAATTTCAATTGTTGCAATTCTTTCATGCCTTGACCAAGATATAGGATGAAC